TTATTATTATTATTATTATTATTATTATTATTATTCTTTTTTGCTAAAGGAAGTTGAAAAGCTGTGGGACAGAAAGCATATTTAGTATCCAATTAAAAATGCAGTAAAGCAAAAATTCATATTTATTTTTTTTTATCTCACTTCTGCTTTTTCTCTTCATTCTTTGTTTTGCCCCTTTTTAGCAAAATTTTTGCTGAGTGAAAAAAATTTCAATCTCTGCCAACAAAAAAATGACTGGAAGAATGGGAATATTTACACTGGTTTATAAGAGCAGGGATCAGTAAAGCAGAGTACAGCTGCTTGCAAGAAACGTTAGTTTAAAGGCCAAGGCTAGTCTAATGCATGCTGTATGTTGGTGATAAAGTTAATGAATTGCCGCTGCTCAGGTGGCGTTTATTCCTCTAAATTCGTTTCTTATTTTTCATATCGCACCTGCCAGTGCTCTTTGTTTGGGTCCAAGGCGTTCAATTTCCATTTTACTCGTTATTGAATGCTAAGACAAGGTTGAACAAAGTCCTTGTTTAGACCTGGTAGTAATAAAAACTTCAAACCTAGTGAAAAATCACTTAGTTTAGACAAATATTTTACTTTTTTTATTATTTCTTCAAAAACAACCATTTATTATGGTCAAAATACAACAAAAATTATTTATTTACTCTTATTCAAAGTTTTGTGGAAAAAATTTTAAGCAAGAAACTTTGCGCTTGCATTGGGCATATTAGTGGACTGTAATAGTACGTAGCAAAAATGTTTTTTTGGGGGGTTGAGAAAAAAAGTAAGAAAACAGTCAATAAGTATTTTAATTGGCTGATACTGTTACTAATGTGCAAACAAAGTTTGTCTAGGGAATGAAAGATGAAAGCTAATAATAAGGTATAAAAAAACAGATGGAGAAAATGGATTTTTTTTGTAAAAATTATAGAAATAATAAACTTGATTACCAAACGTACTCGTTTATTTTAGTAATTTGTAGTCATTAATGGCAGGAAAAATTTTGTTGTTAGAAAAGTCAATGTCAACTGAACTCATTGTTGCATAAGGAAGCCGCTGTTGTAGAAAATGAGAACATATGGAAGACAATCATTATCGCTTTTGTGTCTTCAGTTAATAAAACAGAACTGTAATTAGGCGATTGAACAACAAAACACAGAGACCTAAACACACAAATATTCATCTAAATTCTATGTGGACTTGTATCGGGTCAATGAATTTTTCTTTGACACATCGGCTTAAACAAATTTTTGAGCGAAACCTCGGGATTAGGAGCACTATTGAGATGGCAGTTTTACTGGCCGTTTGTAGCGTACGCGGAAAGACAAGTCTTTATTGGCA